CTGTAACTTTGTTTACTCTCATCTTCTCCCAGCACAGATTTTCACTGCCTCCCCCAAATCTTAAGCATTCTTCAGTGCCTATCTCCAGGCTGACCTCTTCCATAAAGCTTTCACTAACTGCCCAGTTACCTCCTCACATGAGAACAATGATGGTACTTACAGGATATACAAATCATTTGAAATGTATCATGGGATGAATTATGTTTCCTCAAAATTCATATGCTAAAATCCTAAGCTCCAGTACCTCAGACTATAACCATATTTAGAGAAAGGGTATTTAAAGTGAAGTCATATGAGTGGGCTTGAATCCAATATCACTAGATTCCTTATAAGAGGAGGAGATAAGAACACAGACACAAGCAGAAGGAAGATGATGTAAAGACATAGGGAGAAGATGACCATCTATCTACAGGCCAAGGAGAGAGGCCTCAGAAGAAACCAGCCTTGCCAGTACTCTGATTTTGAACTTCTAGCCTCCAGCACCATGAGGAAAAACACTTCTGTTGTTTAAGCCTTCCAGTCTGTGGAACATTGTTATGGTTGTCATATAAAACCACATAAAACCTTACTGTAATTTGTTTTCCTAAATACTGAGGCCTTCGGTTTGGTATGGTGGGGATCATGGTTCAGGTTTTGATGCCCTTCTGCCTTGTCACCGGTGGCCTGCATGTGCTAGGTGTTGGATGGACGTTGTCTTAGATCAGAGACAGAGTTCCAAGTGAAGAGTAGACACTCAATATACTTTTGTTAACTAGATGCCTATTGTTACCAAGATATAAAAATAAATTCCTGATGCTTTAAAGACAGATGTAAATAAAAGACCAACAAAACCCTTAAAAGAGAACCCAGAGGCTTCATGAACAATCTAGAAGTACAAATGTCTTAACCAAAACTCAGAAGTCATAAAAAAGTATGTATCTGCCTATTAAAGATAGATTAAAACCCTAATATGACAATGAAATCAAAAGACACACAATAGATTTGGAAAACCATATTAACAACACAGAAGACAAATAAAGAGTTGATATTCTAATATACAACAGTTCAAGCAAATGACTACAAACATGAAGACCAACAGAAAAATAGGCAAAAGACAGAAACACAGGTCAAGATGAACAAATCCAAAAGGCCAATTAGCATGGAAGACACCTGAGCTTTCTAACAGACAAAAAATATTGAAATTAAAATAACAATGGAATATTATTTTACTTCAGACACAGCAGCAAAGATTAAAACAAAATGACACTGCTGGATGGGATGTCAGAAAAAGTGTATTCTCACAAATTGTTGAAGGAAATGTCAATTGTTAGGGACTTTTAATAAAGCAATCTATCAAAACCAGAAATACCTTTCAACTCAATAACTTCTGAGGACTTAGCTCATAAAATTAAAATCCTAGGATACAAGGACATTTTCAAAGATGTTTACTGCAACATTTTCATAGTGGCAAAAAATTTGAAAAGTGAATATCTGACAATAGAAGAAAGGTTATACAAAGTATTTTGATCCACATATGGAATATTATATAGCCAGTAAAAAGAACAAATTGTAACAATTCCAGTTGAATGCAGAGATTCCTGCTAAAGTACTGAGGGAGAAAAGCAAGATATATAAGTGTTTAAATTATGATCCTATTTATATAAAATGTCAAAATTTTCTATGTCTGTATGTGTGTATAAGTACATGTGTGCATATCTGCAAAAAATTTTAAAGAATGCATATTTTATAATAAGGGTTCCCTTAAGGGAGAGTAATGTGGGTTGGGAAGAGAGAACAAAGGTGAAGGGGAGCCCTGGTCGGTTATACTCAGTGATTAGAGCGTCGGCCCACAGACTGGAGAGTCCCAGGTTTTGTTCCCACTAAGGGCATGAATCTTAGTTGCAGTTTGTTCTCTGCCCTGGTTGGGGTCCTGTGGGTGGCAACCACTCGATGTGTCTCTCTCACATCAATGTTTTTCTCTCTTCCTCCTTCTCTCCTGCTCTGTCTAAAGATAAATGCAAAAATGTCCTCAGGTGAGGATTTTAAAAAAAGGTAAAGGGGAGAAGGATATAGAAAAAAATGAGAAAATAAAAAAATACTGCATAAAAAGAATCATGGAATATGGTCACACTTATTTTAAGTTATAAATTTACATGCTAGTATGTGAAGAGTACAGAGATTTAAAAAATGTCAAAATGCTTCTGGCCGGTGTGGCTCAGTGGTTGAATCAACCCATGCTCCAAGAGGTCGCCGTTCAATTCCCAGTCAGGACACATGCCCAGGTTGTGGGCCCAATCTCCAGTGGGGGGCATGCAGAAGGCAGCCAGTTGATGTTCCCTCTCATCAATGTTTCTCTCCCTCTCCCTTCCTCTCTCTCTAAAATCAATAAAGAAAAAAGTCAAAATGCACTGAATTTTCAGAATTTCTATTTAATTCTTGTATCTTACAGGATTTGCTTTAGTGTTAATTCACTGAATTTTCCTTCACCAGGACAATCTGAAGGTTGAATATTCTTAAAGTGTGTCTCATTTAAGATACTGCCATGCAAAGTGGGCAGCCAGCAAGGGAAAATTATTGATGAATATATTCAAAAGGGCCTGATTGTTCAGATTAAATTTACCCAGACCATTTTGTATTTTTGAAGAGCAAACTTCTCATAAGCCTATCAGCATACAAATTTCAGAAAGGCACAGCTTATTTTTGCTTTCTAAATTTTTGTTCCTTTGGGGGAGTTCAAACACTGTTTGCTAACACCATTCTAACCCCTTAAATTACAAAAATGACATAAATATTTATAATCACAAATGATCATCAGCATATCAATGTTGGCAGTAGCAAAATTAAGTTTGTGACTATTTTGTGTGATGTGCATAATAAATATTAGACAGTAAAGGTTATTGCTATATTAAATAGTCAGAGGATAAAATATTGATTTTTATTGTAGTTATAGTAATGAATTCATTAAGTGTCTTAGTTGACCAAAAATGACCATCTTTAAAATGATGAATGGACAATCATCTCAACATTTTGCATCAAAAAAAGGGGGGTGGGGAGGGTGGGGGAGGGTGATGGTAGATTTAAAACTCAATATTTGCTTTAGGAAACAAAATTTCAGTATTACTCTCATTTTTATAATTACATGATTTTACTTAAGAATACATGCAGAGTATATTTTGTATAAGTATCATGTGCCTAAATCAGATATGAGGACAGAAATGCACTTATGTTATTAATTTCTTAATAAATCAGTTTTTGTAAATTTCCATTTACTCCTGACAGTCTGTGAACTTTAAGTAATATAGTGACCTACAAGAAACCTTAAAAGGGAGGTATATTCATTGCTGCTTGTCCAAGGTAGAATTCACCCCTCTCAACGTTGCAACCTGCCTTTCGAAAGTTGCTGTGTCTGCCTGTCACCTCCTCTGCCCTTCAGTCTGGCTGGCCACTCTGGAAGGAAACTGGACACAGGTTCTGAGCTTGTGTGGGCCGTTCAGTTCTGCATTACTCCTGTCTGCCTTGCTCTGAGCTCCTGGAGATATTTCCATTTCTCATGGTTGCCTCAGATTTGTTTACTAGCTTCACTCTACTCTGTGGTCTGTGTTCTTTTGAATCTACCTGAGGTGAAGAGTTGTAAAGGTAGGTTCTTCTCCCACCTTGAGTGTCCTTAACACTTCTGTGTGCCTTACTGTTCAGTGGGTCTGGTGCACTGGCTTTCTTGACCTTCCCAATAGGAGCTACCAGCCCCCACCCCACTGGGAACTGCTCAAGTGATTTTTCTGTTTTGTTTTCTGCCACATGAACACCAATGCCCTAGAGCCAGCTTACGCCTCTCCTTAGGTCATGAGCTCTAAGCTTTTTGCCACTCTCTGATTTAGGTATGTTGCACTAATATCCAGAACCTTGAACACAGAACATTTAGTTGTTTTTTAATCCTCTCCTGAGGACATTTTTTTTTTTTTGCATTTATCTTCAGATAGAGTGGGAGGAAGAGAAGAAGGGAGGGAGAGAAAACATCCATGTGAGAGAGAAACAATGAGCAGTTACCACTCACATAACCCCAACTGGGGCCGGGGACATACTGCAACTGAGGTACGTGCCCTTAGGAGAACTGAACCCGGGACTCTCTGGTCTGCTAGCCGATGCTCTAACCACTGAGCCAAACTGGCCAAGGCAGAACATTTAGTTTTTTTTATTACACTCTCAGATTTAGGTAAGGTTCTTTTCCCATCCTATCCCTTATGTCTCTTCTAATCACATCACAGGAGAAACAATGGGAGAATGAAGAAGCTCTGCTTGTGGCATGAGGCCTCTGGACTGTCATCTGTGACTTGGACTTGATCTCAACATACCTTATGTCATCTCCATTGGGCTAAGGTTATGGATAAGAGTCCTCAAAGGCTAGTTATTTTTCCAGTCCCTGGGGCTAGGTTGCACCCTACTCCCAGCTGCCTTCCATTCCTGTGCAGAGTTATCAAAGGAGGTGCCCGGGCAGAGGCATGTGAGAATGCACAGTGATGTGGGTCGTGTCTTGGCAGTGCTGTCTTTGCTGGGATAGGAGCTGTTATGCTGACCCATGAGCATGTACCCTGTATAAGACTGTCCATGGGACTATGGGTGCAGTCAAACAACAGGACACATGTTTCCTTGCCTGAAGAATGAGGAAACTCAGGGGTGGCATTCAAGGCTCCCTAATAACCTCTTGATTATTTTTCAAGATCATATTGATCTTAATCTATCTGAAAAATTGTTGGGTATATAGCCTGAGGTGAAAACCTATGTTAATTTTTTTCCAACAGAGCCAAATTTTATAAAAATTATTTATTGATTATTTCATAGTCATTTTCTCAGATTGGCCTTTTAAAAACGCAGGCTAGAAGAACATTACCTGACTTTAAACAAGCAATATTTTGTTTTTTCTTGCCCTTCCCTCATGCTTTATGATACACAGCTAAGTGGTTCCTCTCAAGGTAAGGTCAGATAAACCAGTATTATAAAAAACCATTATTCCATATTAGAGCATGTCAGGTCACAAGCATGGCCGGAGGAGATGCCAAGCAAGCTTTCAGTGGCCCAAGGCAGTCTGGCAGCGAAGACAGCACGTCTGGAGGAGACATGCCAGTCTCATTCCACATGGTTGTGGAAGCGCTGTACCAGGCTGCAGTAACATTGTTCAGACTATTAGTTTTACACAGACATGGACTTGAAGGTCCAGCTCTGCAAGGGGTGGAAAGTGTCTGCTCCAGAGCACCTTGTTCTTATTTAACCAGTCACTGGGCTGCCCGGGAGCTCACTACACAGATGCTCCTGTTAATGAACCATCTCACATGAGGGAAGATTAAGCTGATTTATTTACAGTATCCAATTCCAATTCTGCAATATTTTATCCTGTAGTTGGATTAGCTAGCAGTTTGCCAAGGTTATTCTTTGAAAAATGAATTTAAGGGCTGTTAATATTCCATACATGAATGTGTCATTACTTATTAATCATTTCCTTACTGTCTAATTTTATATTTTGCCATGTACATAAATTTTCATTTCTCAGCTCTGATTATTCCTTTAGGCTATATTATCATAAGTGGGTTTACTGGGTCAATGATATAAATTATTTCAATGTTGTTGTTTTTTTTACATATTGTCAAATCACTATTCGAAATGTTGACTATACAGTCTTACCATTGCTGTTTGAGAATAATTAAATTAGCACATTCTCCTCACAGTTTTTCATCCTTGCCATTTTGATAAGTAAAAAATAATAAATTGCTTTCATTGTATTTTTATTTCTAGGGTGATCATATATATGCTTATTTTAAATTTGCATTTATCCTTCTATAAATAAATCCATTCTTGTGCCCATTTTTCCACTGGGGGTGTTAATATTTTTCCTAATGATTTGTAAGAGCTCTTCCTATATAACATATTATAACTCTTTTTACATTTGTTTTAAATATTTTATCCAGTTTTTCCTTAGCCCTTTAACTTGTTTTTTTTTAATCCTCACCTGAGGACATTTTTGCATTTATCTTTAGATAGAGCGCGAGGAAGAGAGGTAGGAAGAGAGAGAGAGAAAAGCATTGATGTGAGAGAGACACATTGAGTGGCTGCCACCCACATGACCCAAACCAGGGCTGGGACAAACTGCAACTGAGGTACCTGCCATTAGCGGGAACCAAACCCAGGACTCTTGGGTCCACAGGCCTAACCTCCCTAACCGCTAAGCCACACTGGCCAGGGCATCTTTTAATGATACTTTCTAATCTCTGGAAGGCTCGATTACTTATGCAGTTCAAATCTATCACAATTTTTCTTTGTGAATTCTTTTATTACTTCTCATGCTTTGTCCATTCCGAAGTAGAGATTGTGCAATACTCAGTTCATATCATCCGGTTTCTTTTGGTTTATTTCTTACATTTAAATCATTAATATATCTGTGAAGTAGCTGGGTAGTCAGCATAAGGTAGGATTGTTATTTCTTCTCTCCAAGTAAGAAAAATTTTAAGCATCATCTACCCATTTCTTATTGCTTTGATATATATATCTTTTAGTGACAGGTTTTCAGAAATTCTAAGGTCAATTTGGAGGCTATCTGTTCTGCTCCAATAATCTGTGGTTGATTTTTATAACAGAAGCATATAGTTTTAATCATTATAGCTTTACATTATTCATTTTGCTATCTAATAAGAAAAGTCCTCATAATTATTTTTTTCTGGAATTTACAAATAATCTTTAGGGACATTTTCTTATGTTCTAAAAAATATTTCAGCCTTGGCTGGTTTGGCTCAGCGGTTAAAGCGTCGACCCGCTAACCTAAGAGTCAAAGGTTCGATTTTGGTCAAGGGCACATACTTTGGTTGCAGTTCGGTCCCCTTCTCTGGTCAGGGTCATGCGGGAGGCAGCCAATTGATGTGTCTCTCTCACATCAATGTTTCTCTCTCTCTCCTTCACTCACTCCCTCCTTCCTAGCTACTCTATCTAAAAATCATTGAAAAAATATCCTCAGGTGAGGATTAAAAATAAAAGGCTCAGGGTATGCAAGTCTAGATGCCACCCACTGGGTGCTCTCCCACCTTTGTGGTGGGGCTTGGTCTCAGGGAATCACCTATGTGCGGCCAGCAGTTAATCAGGCCCAAAGAGACCAACACTGGGCCATGTGAGGGCAGGGCTGTACACTGCTCAGGCATTCAACAAAAAAATATCCCATCCTAGAGCCACCCACTCTGCCAAATTCTTCCCAGAGAAGCCATAGCTCAGCAGGGTGGGGCCACCAGGGGTCTGGAGGTTGGGACCAGTGGATCTCCCATGAGGGGGAAGCACCAGTCAGGTTCACAAAAAAGTTTGGGGAATGGCCTTTGCCCCAAAGCCATACAACTCAGCCAGCGACAGCCCCTGAGTCTGCCCAGCCAAGGCAGCTGACTCTTTAGCAGGGCGTAAGGTTATCAGGGTGGGGTGAGAGGAGTCAGGGTGGCACCACCGCATTCCCCCAGGCTGATGTTGCATAGAGGGGTGTGTTCTACCCAAGAAAGATGGCATGTGCAGTGAGGGAGAAGAACTCAGCTCAGGAATCCTGGTGGCCGTCCTTCAGCTCTCTCCCCAGAGTCACAAACCCGACCCTCCTCCCGTGACTTGAGCTCAGCCTGCCCTTTCTCTGCTGGCGCCCAGGGTGAGTGGCTACAAAGAAAATTGTTTGCGTTGGCCATTTAAGTGAGTGCCTATGTCTCTAATGGACTCCTGTCTGTCCCCGATGGAAAGAATCTCTGCTGATTTTCGCAGCCACTTGTTATGTGGGTGCCTCTTCCCAGCTCTGTTGTTCTGGACTGTGGAGCCCAGCTTGGGGCTGAGACTTCAGTTTCTCAGGGGGGATCCCCTGCAGCTGAACTATCCCTCTGGAACCCCAGTCACTGCCTGTGGGAACCGGGACAGTCCTTTTCGTGTCTCTGCCCTTCTTCCCAGTCTTACTGTGGCTTCTTCTCCAAATCCTTTGTTGTAAGACTTCCCTTCAGCTAGTCTTCAGTTGGTTATTCAGGCTGATTGTTCTATCATTTAGTTGTAGTTCCGATTTAGTCTTGGGAGGAGGTGAGTATATCTTCCACCAACGTGCTGCCATCTTGGACCTCCTGGTGCATTTCTGTCTTATCACAATCATTTCTCTTTTCTGTTTCTCCTGGGGTTGAGTAACATGTGTTTTCGTTTTCTAAAACAATTTATTAACTTATAACTTTTAAAAATTATTTTCAATTAATAAGTAAGACATTTAATGATTAAGTTATCCTATGAATACATATCTAGCTGCATCTCATTCATAGTTTTTATATGTGGCTATTTTCATTTTTATTATTTTGAAATAATTTATAACTCTAATTATAATTTCTTCACTTCAGATTATCACATTTTTATTTATTTATTTATTTATTTATTTATTTATTTATTTTCCCTCACCCGAGGACATTTTTCCATTTTTTTGCACAGATAGAGCGGAAGGGAGAGAGAGGAAGAGAGAGAGAGAGAAACATCGACGTGAAGGGACACATCGAGTGGCTGCCACCGGCACGACCAACCAGGGCCGGGGACAAACTGCAACCGAGGTACATGCCCTTAGAGGGAACCGAACCCGGGTCTCTCTGGACCGCAGGCCGATGCTCTAACCGCTGAGCCAAACCGGCCAGGGCAGATTATCACATTTTTAATATGCAGATTTGTTTTTCAAATCTATCTCAATTACATCATGGTCAGAAAATATAATCTGGTTCAATTACAACTTTGGGGAGTTTGTGGATTAGCCCAATATTTCTAGTTATAAGAATAATTAAAAAATGCTAGGATTAAAATAGAAGGCATTTTATCAATGTGATGTGAAATTATGAATATATTATATGTGAATTTAGCTTGTTGATTATACTATTTTATTAAATATGCTATGCGATTTCTTTTTAAATTGACCTCATGTAGGTAAGTAATATGGTGTAAAACATATAAAGAAAATTCTTAGTTTCCAGTGCTGCTGATACTATTGGTCTTTTCTGAGCATTTCAATAAAAAAAATTAATGGGAAGATGGGGGGAAGTATACTGTTCATGACCTTTCTATTTCCATGTGAGCTCCATGTCCTCTGTAGTTTAAAGGAGATAAAAAGTATGGAATGGGGAGAATAATTTGGATGCAAAATATTTAGTATTTTCTTTCTAAGATTTCTAGGTCAAGTATTTTGTCTGAACTAATTCAATAAACTCATCAGAAGGCTATACGTCAGAGTGTAAACTTATGTAAGGCAAACTGCTTTATATAATCAGTATTTAGTATAATTAAATTATTAGCAATAAATGATTCTCTCTAAATTGTGAGGTTGTAATGAAATAATTTCTTTTTGGATACTAAAGATTTTTGTTGTTTTTAAGAGTTGGGGGGAGTTAAGAGTTATGAGTTTTGAAATAATTTATAACCCTAATTATAATTCCTTCACTTCAGATTATCACATTTTTAATATACAGATTTGTTTTTCAAATCTATCTCAATTACATCATGGTCAGAAAATGTAATCTG